AGGTATTATTGGTGGAACTTAAAAATAGAGAAGAATATTATGCGATGAAATGTTTGAAAAAAGATGTAATACTTGAAGATGATGATACTGAATGTACCTTTATTGAACGACGTATACTTATTTTATCATCTCAATGTCCATTCCTTTGCCAGTTATTCTGTTCTTTTCAAACAAATGTAAATTTTTTTTACACATTTATCTATTAGTAGTAATTATATTTTGAATTTAAATATTATAATATTGACATTGAAAATGAGTAATTCCAAAAATACGGAAAAACTATAGCCTTTTTTTTTCTCTCTCTCTCTCTCTCTCTTCCTCTTTCATACATGCATCACAGATTAGTGATAAAAATATATGAATTAAAACAATATGTTCTCTATACATATTTATATAAATAATCCTTTAAAAAGGAAAAAAAAATTTTTTTTCCTGTGTATTTGAGGAATATTTGTTTTTTGTAATGGAATATCTCAAAGGCGGTGATCTCATGCATCATATTCAAGCAGTTAAAAAATTTGATGAAAATCGTTCACGATTTTATGCTTGTGAAATTATCATTGCATTACAGTTTCTTCATTCAAAAGGCATCATTTATAGGTTGGGGTTTTCATTTTTTTTTTTTTTTTAAAAATAATTTAACTTTTTTTTTCAAAAATTTTTATCAAATACAGTTATTCTCATTTTTTCTTTTTGGAAAATAAAAGCAAGAATTTTGTTTGTGTCATGGTTTGGAAGAAATTGATTACTACATATTCGAAAAAAAAAGATGCTAAAATGTATTCAATAATTTTGGGATGCGTTTCAAAAAATTTACTTCGACATTTTAACAATAATTGTAATTATTCAAAACATTGTTTTTTTCCCCCTTTCCAGAGATTTAAAATTGGATAATATTTTATTGGATTCGGATGGGCATGTTCATTTAGCTGATTTTGGTATGTGCAAAACGGAAATGAATCGAGAAAATGGTATGGCATCAACATTTTGCGGTACACCAGATTATATTGCACCTGAGGTATAGAATATTCGATAATTATACAATTAAGCTACTATCAAGCACTCATATTTAATCTTTTTCATCGGATACTTTTTGGTGTAAATTGAAAAGACTGCAGAGAAAAAAAGAAAGCATTATCGGTTTGGAATAAGTGCGATACGGAAAAAATTGAAAATCGAAATGGATATTATTTCGGGATAAGTTATTGAGTAAATTAAGATCGAGACCTAGATTTCATATTTATTTTTCATTTTACATTAAAACAAAAAAGGAAACGAAAAACTCCTAAGTGCGCTTTTATCTTAATTACTGGAATAAAATAAATAACCTGGGCAAATAATTAATAAATAATTGTAATAATTATGTCGTGATAATGATAGTAATAACAGTAGTAATAATGGCACTATTGATAATAAAGATCCCTTCAGATAATTAAAGGTCAGTTATACAATGAAGCGGTTGATTTTTGGTCTTTCGGCGTTTTAGTAAGTACAGTTTTCTTTTTATTTTTTTTAATTCGCAATTTATTTTGAAATACAATTTTTTTCAAAATTCATTATTCATCTAATCACTTTTTCTTCATCAAAACATTGCATTTATTTTGCTTCAAATTATTTTAATTTCTTTAAAAAAAGTTTTTTTTTTTCAAATTCTGCAAATTACTTTTAATTAAAATATTTTTTTTTTCTTTTTCAGATGTATGAAATGTTAATTGGACAAAGTCCATTTCATGGTGAAGGAGAAGATGAGCTTTTCGATTCAATTTTAAATGAAAGGCCATATTTTCCAAAAAGTATTGGTAAAGAAGCTGCGAAATGTTTAAGTGCGGTAAGGTGTTGTTCGAAATACATGTATAATATCTGATCATAAATAAATAAAATTAAAAATGAAAGATTAAATTTTAACTCTATATATTTAAATTTAGACATTTGAAATAGACCAAGTTAGTATTTAATTCTCTATTAAACATTATTTCAATTCAATTTTCAGTTATTTGATCGTAATCCAAATACTCGTCTCGGTATGCCAGAATGTCCAGATGGTCCAATACGAACACATTCCTTCTTTCGCGGTGTTGATTGGAAACGATATGAAGCACGACAAATGCCACCTCCATTTAAGCCATCTGTGGTAAAAATTAATACCAAACCTTTTGTTATTATTTATTTATTTATTTATACAGTTATTATTTTGTAACAGTAATCGTTTTTTTTTTCAATCAAAAATTTTTCATTTTTCGTTTTAAATACATTAAAATTTATGTTTTTGAAATTAAAATTGAAAAAAATTTTAGAATAATAAAAAAACTCTTTTCGGTTTGCCTGTGATTTTATCATTTATCATTCATTTATTTAATGTAATTTTTTTCTTTTTTTTATAAATGTAAACGATGATTAAAATGATATTAAAATTTTGCAGAAATCACCGAATGATATTTCCAATTTTGATGATGATTTTACGCAAGAGAAGCCAACACTTACACCAA